AGAGAGAGAGAGAGAGAGAGAGAGAGAGAGAGAATTGGAATCTCGACGAAATTCCACGGACGCGGCTGCTTCGTATTTGATTAGGATTCCATCAAGCGAGGGCCATCGTTCATCGCTGGACCACCTCGAAGGGTCAATATTATCACACGTGCTCAAAACGCCGACAGAGGGACCCGTTTCTTATATCCGCTCGTTTCCAGCTCGTCCGATCACAATTCGGTTTTTAGATCGCGACCATCGCACCTTGGCACCTGCATTCGATAAACGTGTTTTATATATATATATATATTTATCGAAGTCCGCCCTTTTCAGGTAGGCGTTTGCCATTTGAATACGCTCCAAGATTCGATGAATCTATTTGCATGTTCGCCTGGTAGATAAAGAGGGGGCACGCCTTGAATTCTTCTTGAAGTTTCCTTCGTCCCCTGGAAAAACTACGGTGGTACGGCCTCAGCAGGGAAACAGCAGGGGGATTTTAATCTTCTTCCGTGAACGGACCACCCGGCGAAATTTCACTTTCCCTGGAGAGCGGCCGCGTCTGAATTCGTTTGATTCGAAACATTGAAAAATGAAAGATCGCGAGGTCTTCTTTTAGATTGGGAGAGATTATATCTGTGCCTAGCCGAATCAGGACGTGTTTGTCGATCGCTGTTATTTTCCTTCATCCGGTAAAACTTCAGCACGAACGAAAGGAAAAAAAATGGTAAAAATTGGCCAATTCTGCAATACCTGGCTGCCAACGAATGTTCCTTTGTACATTGGACATTGTTCTACATATTTGTTCAGGAATTTTAAACGATCATTATATTTTGTGTATAATAATTATTATTATTATTTAAGAAAGATGGGATGATGAGAGAGTTACAAGAGATAGGGCTAAACTTTGGAGTATTGTCGTTGGTAGATAAATCTCTTTGCTCTCCTCGAATGATGACGACCGAATGAAATAATGATTCAGAAAACAATCTGTTAAACCTGAACATAATCTGACCAAGGAATTATAAACTTGTTGTAATAAGGGATCGATAATCGTGATTCTGTATCGATCGCTTTTTGTATTAAAAAAAAACTGTTCTTTCAAAAGATACAATGAAATGTGATTGACATAACTAATTGAAACTTGTAAAAAAGAAATCGTACAATATTCAAACCTCTGCTTTCGAAATGTGTTATTTATATTATTTATTTTTAATTCCGAACTGCAGCACACAAAATACTCACAACTATCTACATATAGATTCGAAAATCAAAGTAATTCCTTTACAATGATTTTTTCTTGTTTTCATCCCGTTATATTAAATTTTGAATGTCCGGGAAACGTGTTCGAAGAATTCGGAACATTTTCGTCGTTATGTTCGTTTCGCAACGAATTGAATAATTGAAAAAAATTGTACGACAAGGGGTGGACATTGTTTTGTGAAAAGAAATGGACGTCGTCGAGAAGAAAAAAATGTCTTCATTTATCTACGTCTGGAACAAAATAAATGACACGTTTTGAAAGTAAAAGCCAAAGATTATTATCCCGTGTATTCGATTTCTATGTACAAAATTCGAGTATTAATCCGAATATGATTCTATTGTATCTGTCTTTGAAAGTGTTACAGAAGCATCGAGCATGA